AACTCCTCTGGGTCCTGGCGTTGGAAGGAACAGGCGTAGGGGGGTGGGAATGCATTGGCCTGGGCACTGCCAGCCCCAGCGGTCCCCCTTCCCTGCCAGCCCCAGGAGAGCAGCCTTCTGCCGCTGCCAGATAACATTAGTCCTGGATTTCATAGTGGCAGAAATCTGTGCCGAGGCTCAGGGCTTGAAATCACTGTACCCGTGCAGGACGCAGGCAGGGATGGGTGCAGGGTGGAGGGAGGGGAATTTTGTTACACTTGCCTACAATTGTTTTTCTTTTTGCTTATATAAACAATCTATTATTTATTAGCTATAAATAATGCATTTTTCTGTATGTTTAGAACGCACGTGATTTCTGTATATTAAAAATGAACATGGCTCTGAAGGCACCAAAGCAAGCGCTTGGCAAGTCAGGGGGTACCCGCTTTCAGCTTGGCCATGAGATGTGAATTCTGCTTCTCCCTGCCCTTACGAGGCTGTAATGACACAGTCACAGCCTATTTTTAGCTCACTCCCTCTTTTCCCTGGGCAGGGTGGCTGCACACTGAGGTGGAATTAAGGTTGCACGGACAGCCATAAATTGGACACTTCCTAACTTTGAAGTGCTTGACCACGCAATCTAAATGGGGGCTCTTCGGGCAGTATTTCTGCATGTGGCATTAACTGTGTTGGTCGCAGACGGCAAATACAGGGGTAGGGAAGCCGTAGAGCAGAAAAGACTTATCAGACTATTGACAGTGCTTGTTTGAATAGATGGGGAAGTCAACAGAGCCTACACTTGATCTGAGCTAAATGGCCAAGAAGATGTCTCCAAGATGAGAGGGGGAAGCCTTTGTTCCTTCCTTGATGTTTTCTTTGCCTTTGGTTTTGCCTTGTTCACTCCTTGGGAGATTTGGGCTCCTGCTCTTGAGGATCCTGAGGCTTGAGTAGTGAATTTGTGTGCTTATGGAAGCAAGGGGGTCCCTAGGAATGTGCACACTCACCAGCAGATGTGTGCTACCAGCTCACAGATACTTGCTGACTGGCATCCTTGCCTTGCCTTGCACACTGCCTCTTGCCGGTGTCGCTAACAGGAGCTGTTGCACATGTTGGGTGGAAAGGAGAGGCTTTTGTTTATTACATGGGATATCTAATCTCTGTTTTTTTAACTGCTGGAAGAATTACTCTGGAGGTGGTTGTGTGCGATGCAGATTCATCTTTGCTTGAAATGGCTTTTTGTGGCTTTCCTTTTCCCTTGTTGACTGTGGGGGTTTCTCCATTCGACTTTCAACAAGGCATTTGGCTGTGTGTTTTCTAGCAGAGTGGGCTCTGGTTCAGCAAATTTGCCTGGGGAATTAAGCAGTCTTTTGTTTTACTTTCCTGGGTTTAATGCAGTCATGGGCCCTTGCACATACCTTGTGCTGCTACCGGAGCATTTCCCTCCAGCCAGCAGTGTATTTGTCCTGGGTTATAATGATTTGACCTAGTGTTTTTGCCTTGTGGACTCCTGGAGCCTCATACCTGCCTGGGGCTGTTCCTGCATCGTATCTAAGTGTCCTATGTTTGGGTTTCCATTGTGTGGGTATGGGCTTGTGTTTCACAAGCCTCCTTTTCATAACTTTCCCCCTCTCTCCTGCATCTCGGTTCAGCAGAGGGCCTGTCTATCTGGATGCAGGCAATAAACATCTGTTCTCACCCTGACTTCTGTTAATGAGATAGAGACAGGTAAGCATCACACATACCAACTTCCCTGCTCTCAGCAACATCAAGGAAACGGTGACAAGCTATTAATGGAAAGTGATGGTCTGGGTGCTAATTAGTGCTTCCTTTTCAACTTTTACCTACATGTCTACCAAGATGCCCATCCCAGCCTCTCCTTTCCTTGCATCCCTTTGTTTCCAGCACGTTTCTTGCTCACCACGCACATCCCACATCGAAGAGGCTTCTCTCCCTTTGTTTTTCTCCCTACCAATCTCTTTCTGCATCTCCTCATTCCCTTTTTGTGCCCTTTTTCCCTGGGTAATTGCTATGGGTACCCTCATTCTCCGTGGTTGTTCCCAGCAAAGAATACGCACAGTACTGTAGTGGGATCTGAAAGCTTGGGGATGGGACACAAGGAGTTTGGTCAGGAGTTTCTCATCTTCACCAGGCATGAGTATCTGCTTGTGGCACTGGTACACGAGGTCAAATTGCCCTGGGGATGTGAGGTCAGAGATCTGTCCCCTCTTCCCACAGGTAATGCTGTGGGGAAGGTCCCAGCAGCTCGCAGGTCTTGGTCATGGAGCAATTAGTATTTAAAGCAGATCCTCTGGTGATGCCCAGAGATTAAGTAGGACGGGCCTCCGTGGTGTGAGCCTGCAGGACATGACAGGTCTGACCCCAGAGAGCTCATGATCTAAACCCTACATGATTTTGCTGTCCACCAGACCCTGTTAATAGGTGGGGTTTGAGATCCACCCCAGTTTATGCTGCTGTAGCAATAGGATGCCTGGTCTCAGCTTGGTGCCTGGTCTCTCCCGTTTCAACTTCTCCTGGTCCCTGGGCTCTGCGCCTTCCCCAAGGACCCTAAATGTCCCCTCCTCACTTTTTTTTGCACAGGCTGTGGGTTTCTCGTGTCCCAAGGAGCTGCCTAATCTGCCCCTGTCATTCCCAGTCACAGGCTCCGCACACACCATGGCTTTATGAGGAACGCTCGCAGGGCAGTGGGAAGAGGCAGCCATGGTTTGCACATTAGCTAATTAATTTTCATGACTGAACGATGCTGCCTGGTCTCTTGTTTATACTCCTCGGCGCTCCCCTTCTCCCCCCTCCTCGCTGACACACACACAAGACGACACATCTCGTAGGAACGTCAGCATCCTTTCACAGCCCTGAGACGCGAGCGGTTATTCTGTTGGCTTGTCACATGCGGGTTTCCCTGCTTCATGGTACACAGGGGCCCCCTGTTTCACATTTGCTGATTCTTATTAGACCCAGCGCGCCAGGGCCTTGTCTCTCCCCGCAAAGCAACGCGCTGCATCCCATCCATAAATCCAACCCTGGAACAAAGCCTCTTCTACCCTGCCCCATATTTCTACCCAGCCTGCCCGCTTTCCCCTCTGTCTCTCTCTCTCTCCCCCTCTCCTGTGCTGAAGGTTTCCTAGTGCCAGGGAGATATGATAATTCTTGTGAAGAGAGCATGAAATGCCTCTGCTCTTTGTGTCTGTTTAATTCAATGAGAATCCCAGCCCCAGATGTCATGAATGGTGGGCTTTGTGCTGGCCCTTCCTAAGCCCTAACCGCCAGCCCTGCTCTCTGTCTTTCTTGTTTCCCACCACTGGATACTGATTAACAAACTAAATTATTTTTCCTCCCTAATGATGTTTTCCCACTTTGCCCACCAGGCTGGAAGAAGCCACGGGGAGGAAAGAGTTTGTGTAAAGGATGAGATAGCCAGGGAGAAAATTAAAGAGACAGTGTTGCTCTCTGGGCTCTTGCAACGCAGGTCTGCTCGGCTTTATTTCCTTGTTAGAGAACAGGGTCGTGTCTGGCTGTATTTTATGTGGCTGGGTGTATTTTACATGGCTGGGGGTATTTTACATGGTTGGGTGTATTATATGTGCCTGGGTGTATTTCAGCTGCGGGGATGGGCTTGAAAGCACTTGCACAAGGTATTCTCTGAAGCATGCCAAGGTCTGTAACTCACTCGCAATTGTGTGTGCGACTTTACACGGCCCCAAATTTCAGGTCTCTCTTCCAGCTGTGAGTGACATGCGGTAATTACTTGACATCCATTCATGTATATGGGAGCCTCTTTCTAATTGAGATAAATTCTCTTTTCCTTAATCAGACGTGACTGTGAGTTCGTGGAGTGGGATGCCTTGGGAAGGGCTGGGACGTCTCCACCTGGGCAAGGAGAGGTGAGTCCCTGGGATTCTTGCTGAAGGATTGAGTCCAACTCATGCATGGGAGACCAACTCTTTTACCTGATCCCTGCTTCCCTTCCCACAGCCAAATTTGCTAGCCAGGCTCTTGAAGCAGGGCCAGTTGTTAGCTGCTGCTTCAGAAAGCCAGCAGTGATAATCCAGGGAGCCTGGAAGGAGCTGGAGGCAGGTGGCCAAGGCAGGTCAGTGCGAAGCCACCTGCTTCCTGGAGCCCAGCAGCTCTTCCTTGCTGGGCACCAAGGAAGCTGTGGCCAGCAAACACCATCCTGGAGCAGGGAAAGAGGATGGGTGTCAACCTTGCAACAGTAGGAAGGGAGAGAGCCTTTCAACCACAACCAGGTGGTCTGAATTGTGCAGTTTGGGGTCATTGATGGGGGAGTGGTTTTGTGTTTTGGGTGGGCTTTTTGGCTTTTAAGAACCAGAGGAGCCCCCAGGCTGGTAGGATGGGCTTCTCTTTGCTGGGGTGCAGGCAAGGGCAGGTCTGATGGACAGGGCAGGCAAGGACCAGGCTGTGCCCAGGGAGGCTCTATGGCAGTATTGTATGGCTCAGCCTTGTATTTATCAGCGAGATCTTTGGTTGGAGCTTTGCCTTTCCCTGTGGAGAGCAGGGGGACTTTGTGCAGGCTCAGCTTGTAGAGTGGCTTCTCCCCTTGCAGCCATGCCAATGCTGTGGTACCCAGCCATGGTTTCCCTTTTCCTCACCTTAGACTGGAAGAAGGGGGAATAAACCGAGAAAAAGGGTGCTGCTTTGTACCCACTGAGCCCCTGCAAGCACACCCACTGCATCCAGCAAAGTACCGCCTTGTGTACGGCCTTTGCTTCCCACCGCAGTCACATCTGACCCTTATTACTTCTGCAAGGTAGAACAAGGCAGGAAAAATGGCTGTGCAGCGAGTTTCTTCATGCGCCAGGATTTATTAAGAACAATAGGGGAAATCAATCCATCTATGTAGAATACATCGCAGGCTGCAATGGGATAAAGCATTTATTCCGCTCTTGAAGGGTAGAGCTATAACTCATGGGAGGCAAAACCCTTAGTGCTCTGGAGTCCCTTCCCTTCATGTGTGCAAAGAAATGCTTAAGCCCATGGCAACCTACCAGCTATTGAATTTGTGTGGAGAATCTGCCGTCCTTCCCCTCTGCCGGCCCCTTTTTGGAAGGCGAGTCACTCATTAAAGCACACCTCTGGAAAAATGAAGGGGCTGTCTGTTCGAAGGCATCTCTGCATCTGGGTTTTACTTGAAACAGAAAGAGAATAGAAATGTCTCAGTGATGTAAAAGCAACCCCCCACCAGTTTTGAATGGACAGATCGTGCTTAAACCAACGCAGGATTTGCTGCAACTTTCTGCTGATGCCCAAGGACCAGGCATTGCAATCACAGAGGAGAGGGACAGGTTGGGGTATTGTGCCAAGGCAAGGTGCTGTGCAGGGAGATTTGTGTTCCATGGCTGAACACCTCCAATGCTGATTAGATATTTATGTGTGTGTGTGTGTGTATATATATATATATAAGTATCACCCTGTGCCCGGCTCTCTACTTACGGTAGAAGGCATGCAGTGCAAAGACTGGAGCAGTAGTTAGCGGGGGCAAAAGGTGACTGGGATTTGTTATAAGCTTTCTGGGTGTGAGAGAGTGTGAAGGCAGGCAGGATGGGGGGGCGGGGGGAGGAATTAATAGTGAAATGGTATTTTCACTAAGCCTATTTTCACTGGGTCTAATCTATGTTGTGGGAAGAGGATCTCTTCAATAAGGCAGACCCAGTGAGGCTGGTGAGCTCTTTGGAGGGGGCCTGAAGAGCTGAGGAGCGCAGGGAGGGAGAAGCTTAGCAATTGAACGGACACGTCAGATGGCCTTCCTCAGCAGAGATGACTTGGTAGGTAGCGTGCTGTTGGGCAGATGGGGTTAATTCTTACACCCAAATCAAAAGGCAACCGAGGGGGGAATGTTTTATTAATGAAAGCAGCCCTTTGTGAGTATTCCTCCCGAGGCACGTTCCCTCCACCCGCTGCCTTCCCCCCTGGCTGCTGTCTGGCCCCACGTCTTGCTCGGTACCTGCTCAGCTGCCACTCACCCACTGATAGGTTACATCAAGAAATGTCTCCATATGTCTTGAGTCCTGGACTTAGGAGAGCGGGACTGCAGGAAGAGGGACAGGTCCTTGGCTATGCTGGAGACAGGGGTGTACCACAGGCAGGCAGAGCTCAGGCTGTCACAAGTTGCACGTTATCACATCAATTGCTGCAATGGTGATGTGGGGCTCACCTCTTGCTGGTACCCAAGAGCAAGAGAAACCATGGCTTGCAGAGCAAAAGGTAAAAAACAGGTTGGAAGCGGGCTCCTCAATGGGCAGGGGATGAAGGCACCAGCCAGAGATTGGGCTGAGTAGGTTGGGAGTGCCTTACCCACCATGCATCCCCTTCCCATCCCACTGCCTCGCTGCCTGCCAAGCAATGGGCTCAAGAGAGGAGGAATGGATTTCTGTGCACCAGAAAGCAGCCTTTCCTGGTCTTTCTTACCCCGCTGCCCTCCCATGCCCATGTCCTCAGGGCCCCGAGTGGCTTTTTGATCCAAAGGACAGGGCTGTGGGAGCGGCGAGAGCTCTGCGTGGAGGTTATTTCTGTTGCTTTGTTAAAAATAAAACCAAAGCTGGTTTATAAGGACTGATTTAGAAGGAGGAGGAAACGGAGCTCAATTCCCAGAGTGCCTTTTAGCAAGGCTCTGCATGCGTGTGTGTCATACGCGTGTCAGAGCACAGCACCCAAGGAAGGCCGGGTCGGGAAACCTCGCATGGAAGCGGGGAAAAGACCCCCGTGCACGGCTGCTTCCCTGAGGGAACCCCCGCAGGGCTAATGTTTGATCTGAGGCTCGGTTGTACTCCTCTGAAACCTTGGGATGTCAGGAGCTCGAAGGGAGCCTGGGACGGAAGAGGATGCTATTTGCATTTTCCTATGAATGCATCTATTTGTATAAATCTGGTGTCTCTGTGCATGCGCACACTGCCCTTACGCACGTATCTGTTTGAAGATGCATGCTGTCCCCGTGGTGTTCTCCACTCAGGGCCAGAACTGGTTGGTCTGAAATTCAGGCTCTTCCTGGAGGATCTATACCTCCCCTGCCTGCTCCAAATCTAGCCGGAGCTACGGACATAGGAGTCCCGAGATGTTTTCACCATGCGATAGCGGAGTTTCATTGTGGAGGATGAAGGCTCCCCCTTTCAAATTTGCACAGACATCAAAAGAGTCTGGAAGGTTCAAACAGATCACAACGTAATCAAAATGCCAAGCCACCGCCTGCTTCTGCCGTTGGGTTGACAAGCAGGATTAGCACCCAAGGGAAGCAGGGTGTAATAGTGTTTCACGGGCACTGTGAACAGCCCAGAAGTGTGCGCAGTACAGAAAGGTTAGCCGAGGGGCAGGTCTAGCTACAGACGTACGGTCGGGGGGTGGATTTGAAAGCAAGGAGCTGTACGTGCACAACCTCCATGGATGTTTCCTTTGGCAGGAGGCAGGACTCTCCTATATACTGGTTATGTCAGTTAAAGCTAAACTGGAGAAAGGTAGCATCCGAGTGGAGCTGTGCACCAGCGTGGTGAGGAGCAGTAGCAGTTGACCTATAGTGCTGTCATTATAATGGTGTGGTTTTCCGTGTAGACAACCCCGGAGCGGAGCAGCTAGCCTGCCATCCCTTATGTTTCACTGTCTAACCGAGATGTATAACACAGCCCTGCCTGCGTGCGGTTGCAGTCACCCTCGTGCTCTGGTTCTCCGCACAGCACTGGAGCAATGCCCACCTTCCATTGTGTGCCTATTGCGTGGTGTGAAATAGCCCCATTGTGGCTAGAGACACCTGAAACGCTTCCCAAATACTGCTTTAATGTGAGTAATTGCTGTTAAGTGTTGTGAGGACAGCCCCGGATCAAGGATGAGGGTTCTTTGGTTGGCATTTGGTGTTGCTCATGTGGAGAATGAAAAAACAACGTAAAGCTCCCATGGAGTGGGAAATGCTGGTATAGCTTTGTCTGTGGTGCCCGTTTAACCGCGCCTTTTCTTTATAACTGATCCTGGTTTAAATTCAGATTTAGGAAGCTCACATCTTTACCGGTATCTCTGCAGTTTCGGTTTGGGATTGGTTTTGGTTTGGCCACAGAAAGAGAGAACTTGTCCATAACTCGCTCCGCAGTGCCTCGCAGGCAATGCTTCCCCCCTGGCTGTCGGTGCTGCCGTGCCCATCTCACTGTACCTATTCAGTCCATGTCTCCCAGGGCCAGCCCAATGCCCAGCAGCTTCAGGGCCTTACTGGGGCACGTTTTACCTCAAAAGCGGGTCTAACCCTGCTTTAGCTCCCGCACCGCTTGTGTCCGAGGGGAAAACGACAGCAGGGGCGCAGGCCCTGGGCAATGTCGCCTCGTGAAGGAGGAGCATACCACAATTGTTCCAGCCAGGAAGCCTGTGGCAGTGCTGCACAGCCAGCGCCTTGGCGCCATGAGCGCAGCCCGCGCTAAGATGGCCGCCCTCCCGCCATGGAGACACCCTCGGTCCCAGTGCCCCCCTTTCCCTACGGGCCAGCGGGATGGCTGCCACCGCTGCCACCTGCCGCTGGGTGCCAGCTGCCTCAGCCAGGCCGAGGGGAGCCCGCGGGGGCAAGGCTGGCCGCTGGCACGAGGCAGTGTGGGCCCTGGCGGCCATTTTGCGGGAGGCAAGCGCCGCCTGTAAGATGGCCGCATGGGCATGAAGTAGGGTGCAGCGCTGCCTTGTCCTCGCCACGCTGCCTCCCTCACGCCGTCCCCTCCTTATCTTGCTAATTACCGATGAAGGCAGAACAATAACGGGAGCTGGCATGCCCCAGTTCTTTCTCTGCCACCTCCTTCCTCGGGCGGAAAATCAGCGCGCACACCTCCCTCTGTCCCCCCTCCCCGTGCCGCCCGCCATCCCCTCTGTGATATTAACCGAATTAACATACTTCCTTAATTTACCCCACGTGTTTTTCCCCCCGCGCCGCCTCGTCATGGCTTCTCCAACCGGTTGGGTAAGAAAACGAGCAACGTTCATTTATTCCACACACACACACGCACACACGCACACCCCCTCCCCGCTCGTTTGGTTGTATGCGAAAAATCCTTAATGACATCTAAAAGGGGTGGCGGGACAATAGCCCACGCGGGGCTTGGCAGGAGCCGTGCGATATTTACCCCGCCGCACCGTCCTCGCCTGCTTTGCCGGCGGATTAGGACGGTCTCCCCGCGTTCCTCCACCGATCTGTTTTGCCGGTGGTGGCGGGGAAAAGAGGGGGGACGCGTTGGCACGCGGCTGCTTTGTGCACCTCTGCTTCACCTATGGAAAACGAGACGTTGAGGTGTTGCCATAAACCCCCGGATGACAAAGAAAGCGCCTTTCTCTTTGGCTCGTAGGCAGCAATGACAGAAGCCTTTAAAAACCATGTTGGGGAGGGGGTGTTCCTCCCCCCCCCCCAGTAATGATTGCGGAAGGCTTCCCCTAAAAGGAACGTAAATACATATCATTAAATGTAAAGCGCTGAGCTCCGCTCCCGCTAACTATGCCATGCTTTTTGTTTCTGATAGTATTTGTCCGTTGCAGAGAGCAAGCCCGGGATGTGGAGCCTCCCCCCTCCCTCCTCCCTTTGTTTAAGTGACAAAATATTGCTATGTTCTTGTTTAGAAAATAAACCTTTGTGGGGTTTTCAGCTTTTATCCCTATTTATTTATGAATTCCTTCATTTTATCGTGGTGTGAAATCCAAACTCCCCTTCCTCTCTCATCCTGGGAATCCATGTTCCTCATGATCAGTTTTTTCCTTCCTTTATCTAAAAAACAAAACATTATTTTATATTATTACCCCCAAAATAATGCAGCAGGAATATTTTTGAGTATTTGGAGCTTCAGGATATTGAAGTCTATTTTTTTTTTATAAGCGATGAATGAAGAGCAATGATTTAAGTGTGTAATGCACAATACAGATGCCATGCATTGTAAATACATTTCAGGGGCATAAAATCCAACACAGAGAGCCAGTGTTCCACGAAGGCTGGGAGTCCAAAAATAACTGTAAAAATTAATTGTCTGTCGGGGCGAATCTCTCAGATCCCAGCCAATATTTGCAGGGTTACAATATACAACAGGGTTACTTATTGGCATAAATATCCCATTTTAAAATGCCGATGCTAAACTGAAAAGAGAAGTGAAGGGAGATATTTGACTGATTACTGGATGCCATGGATTCCCCGCATTTAATTTCATACTTACATGCTATTTACTTATCCCATGTTTATGGGTATGTGCTTTAGCTTCGTATAAATCTCTCCTGTCTGTCTGTCTCGCTGCGTCCTTTTCTCTTCTGCCATCCCATCTGCTTCTCGTGGTCCTTCTCCTGAAACCGCATCACAGGATCTGATGGGGATAATGGGAATCCGCCTCTGGTCTCTATCATAAACATGCCAACGTGGGCTATTGTGTTGGGAGCCGGCGGTCACCAGATGGTGCTTGGTTGCCCAGGGTCTGCGTCGCTAGGTTTGGTCTCTCAATAAACCATCAGCTCCTTTAGCATTGTGTTTTCTCGCCAAGATCTACCTACCCTGGCTGAGGAAGGTGTAAGGACCTTTGTAACGTACCCCAAGGGATGAAATGCTTCAGGGTGCATTGGGCACTTTGCAGCCTCAGCCATGCGGCTATGAGCTGCCCTTGCAGAGCTGAGGTCTGTTAATCCCTGTGTTCAGTTCTGTTCACCCTGTCTGCGTTCCTGGGTAGGAAAATTAGCACGTTGGTTTGTGTAGGATTGAATGCTGTCTTCATGTGAAAAGCAGTCCATGTCAGCTTGAGCAGACATCTTGCTACCTTTAGCTATTGGGCTTGGGAAGACAAGCAGAGATATCTTTGTGTCTGTGGATGCAGGCAAAGTCAAGCTATATCCTCTTGCTTGGGGTCTTGAGTATCTGCAGCAAGAGTGGCTTGTGAGGGTATTGTTGAGAGATGGATGTGGTTACAGAAAGAGACTGAGGCATGGGGCTTTCCCTGTGAAAAACAACCATCCCCATCCGCGAGAAAGCCAGGGACAAACCCTGCTCTTCATTTGGTGCCTGTATGTGCTCAGGAGGTCCTGGACATTGTGCATGTGAGCTGAGGAGGGGGGATTAATGCAGAAATCAAGACTGAAAATAAAACCACAGAGCAATGGCCCTTCCTGAGCACAGCCAGATGGAGGGAGCCTGGCATAATTGCATCTAGCGAAGGGCCGCCATGAATGAAACCAATTAAAGAAGAAGCAATGCTCATCAGAGAGAGCAAGTGAGAGAGGAAGACAATCACCTTTCTGGGTCTTCTTGGGCATCCACCTTCCATGGGGTGCGAGCCAAGCATAGTCACGGCTGAGCTTGTGCATGCACCTGCCTCCTGGCTTAGGGCGAAAAAAGAAGGCAATGGGAAACATCGGGCGCTGGTGGGGCCGGCGCAGAGCTGGCTTGCAGCCAGCCCCAGCCTCGCCGTCTCCATTGTCTCATGGCTTTAATGCGTGCCTAGAAATCCAGTATTTAGGATTCAGGTTACCATTGTAAAGCAGAAAGGTCGTGCTCAGCGCTGCTTGGCGTGGATTCCTCCGGCAGCTCTTTTGCCTGCGTGCCCCATGTTGGGATAGCGTTGGCAGCAGGCCTGGGGCCGGGAGGAGCACACCTTTGCTCCTTCTGGCATGGTGTGCAGCTTGCAAGTGATGCTGTTGGCTCTGTGATTTAGGGATGGCAGTGGGAGGCAGAGGAGGGTGTCCAGAAAGCCATGCAAAGGAGAGGGTGTCAGGTCAGGTTTGCTTATACTGAGCAGCAGTGTCTGAGTGTGCCTTGCTGACAAGCTTGGCAGAAAACCTGGCAAGGCAGGAGCAATGTGTCTCTTCCACTGGATCTCATTTGAACACATTTGATGGGAGTTTCATGAGTAGCTGCTGCTGGTGACCAAGGTTAAGAGAGGGTTTTGGGGCTGTTCCTCCTGATTTGATTTGTAGTCCCAGAAATGGTGCTTTTCCAGCTTTCCTCCCTTCTGCTATCCTGCTTTAAAGGGCAGGAGCCTTTTGGGTGGAGGAGCAGCTGTCAGGGTTGGACCAGAATTATTCACAGGGGTTTTAGTGCAAAGCTTAGGATTTGGGGTGTCTGTTGCAAACTCTTCACTACTGTAATCAAGGGCTGTTTGAAAGTCTCAGCTCTCACTTGAAAGTAATAAAGTGATTCTAACAAATAATGTCATTAGAGACATCATCATTGCAGGGAAAACTCAGGAAACAAGTCAAAGACCTCGCAGGGTTCAAGCATTACCAGTCTGAAAAAAATCCCTCCAAATACTTGGGGTTTTGGAGTCAGGCTTCACAGTTTTGGGGATCCAGATTCCTGGTATCCAAAGCTTAAGGCTGACAGTCCAGGATGCCGTGTAACACTGAACAGGGAGTCAAATAGAGCCTGATAGCTCCAAGTGTCATGGATCACATTGGGCTGGATGGTGCTGGCTTGGGTTCCGTTTGAGCCATGAGAAGCAATGACTCTCAGGAGTGGTCCCAGCCTCTTGTATGGCCCTGGGCACAGAGAAACTTGGTGAAGTTGGTCCCTGGCACACTATTTTGTAAGACCAAGCAAGGGATGCACAACTGTGTACATGCTTGTGGAGGCACTGGGGACAAGGCTGTACTGACGCAGGCTGGCTGTGCCTGTGGACAGACATGGGCCTCTCTTGCTCTGGGGCAGCTTGCAAACAGCATTTGAGTTCCCCACTGCCAGGACTCCAGGAAAATAATGTCATTTAAAATGGTTTGGTCCTTTTGCTGGCTGAGAGTTCATGTTCTGTGTGCAGCACTGTGGAAGACTCTGGTGTCCTCATTGGACTGTACTGGATCTCCCCAGGTTGCTGCAGACTTGTCCCAGGTTGCCACTCAGACCAGTGTCTCAGTGTGCTCTTTTCAGTCCATTTGTGATACATTTCATAGACGTCACCCTGTGCCCACTTGAATGTGTTATAACCAGTGTAAGTTTGAATACGTCTCATGAAGAAGTGTACTGGAGCTCTCTGGAATGAAGGGCAAACTGCATGCACCAGTCTGGACTTGTACAGGCATTTGAAGCGGCTGTGGTCCTGCGTTGTCCCCAGGCTGGGCTTCCTGATGGTGTGGCAGAGTAGAGATACAAAGGGCTCATGAGTGGTACCAGGCTGGCACCCATCAGACTCATTTTGCTTGTGATCTGGTGGATGGGTGATGTGGCAGAGCCAGCTGAGAGCCTGGGGTGGAAATAAATGCTTCATGTAGAGAAGTGCTGGCTTGGGGGCCCATCAGGGGACTATTTCCTTGCAAAGGGAAGGTCTTTCCTTCAGCTGGTTGCATTTCTGTAGGCTTTGACTGAGTTGTGCCTCCCTCCCATCCGCAAATGCCAGAGGTTAAAGGAGTGCCTGCTGTTGCTGCAAGAGCTCAAGGGTATGGTGGGAAGTGACTGGTCTCTGCTACCTAATTGACAGCATGCAATGTGGCTGAGTGCTGGGAAACAAAGGCTCAGGATTCTGCACTGCCTCCATCCTTCTTCCCTTCCCTCCAAGCCCCTAGAAGAAGACACCCTGGTGATACCATGGGATGCTTCCACAGATGCCTCTGTGGGTGCACGGATGTGGAGGCAACTGTCTTGCTGTGTGCAGTGGGATGAGGGTGGTGATGATGTGCTTTATTCCAGCCTACGGTCATGCACGCTGGGGAAGGCATGGCTGGAAGGAAAAGGGATACATTCCCTCTGCTTGTGCTATTCCTAGCCACAGCTGTCTCAGAGACCTACAAAGTACCTTGCTTTGAGGAAGAGCTGCCTGTGTTGATCCATTTGGGCATGGGGCACGCAGATGCCTGCTGCAAGGAAGGCTTTGCCTGCTCCATGCTGCAAAGGCAGAGCCTGACTGCTGGGGTCAGCCTGGGATTGTTGGCACCAGTGCGCACTGGGCTGCAGGTCCAGGAGGTGCACGGGCTCTGCCGAGGAGGGATTCTCCACATCCTGTGGAATTTTCACACCTGTGTCCTCTGATCAGACCCAGTCAGTGTCACGCTGCCA